CTTCCCTGCCCGCGGTCCTGTCCAACTCAGCCCAACTCCAACTGCATCTCCAACTCAAAACTGATTTCTGTCGACTGGGGTCCTGCTTTTATTGACGCCGCAACAAACTGGGGTGGGTCTGTCGGCGTCAGGGTTTTCTCGATAATTTCAAAAGTCGTATTAATTTTGATTTCCATTATCGTTATTGTTTTGTCTACTTTCTCACAGTGCTCTTTGGTGGGGCGGCGCATATCCATTTCTCTTAGTCTCTCTCATGTCAGGTGATCGCTTTCAACCAATCGTTCCTGATCGAACATTTCTTTCTCTTCTTTTCCGCAGCCCACGTGACCGCCTCGTCCAACAGTTATTGATCGAGGTTTTCTTTCCTTCTTTCTTCCGCGGTCACGTGATTGTATTCGACCAATTGTTATTGACCGAACATCCTCTCCCTTTGTTGGCGGGCGTGGTTACATCGTTCTTGTTTTAAAAAAAAAAAATCGATTTTAGCACCTTTTTGCACGTACGCAAAATGACAATCTTTAGCTTTCTTTCACCTGGACTTTGTCAAACAGCCCGCTGCTAATTAGTCTTGACTTTAGAAAAATCTTTTCCGCCTTCTTGGCGCCCTCTGTGAGCCAAAAGCAATTGTCCCTCTTTTTTACTTCTTTTTTTTTACCTGATAGTCGAAAATCTTAATTATCTAGGTTGAAATATCTCTACTTTCTTAACGTGGGTGTCCAATTCTTAACAGGTCAATTCTGTATATCGTTTTCACCACTCCCCTCAACCCAAAGACACTTTTCTCTCAGATCAAAAATTTCGTTTCTATTGTTCAAAAAAAAAAAAAAAAAATTCTCTTTATCCAAATTGATAAGGTGTCTTTCCATGCAAAAGGTCAGGCTGACCGACTTTGATCGATATCATTCTTTCCTTTTTTTTTTTTATTAATTCAGCCTATTCTTCCAATTGTTTTAAAAAAAATAAATCTGACCACACATGCTATCTCTACCATCAACTGGGTTTCCTTTCATACATTTGTTAATCTTTCTTTTTCTTCCTTTCCTTCCTTTTTTTTCTTTTCTTTCCTTCTTCTTTCCTTAGGATCGTCTAGTACATTCTTAGTGAATTATTTTCAACTCAGTTATTTTCCGTTTTAAAAAAAATTAACAACCTGTTTAATAAACTGAATAAAAAAATTAAATCATATTTCTATGAATATTTCTAATAATGCATGCAGGTGCCATACAATTTTTTCCTACCAATTATAGCAAAATCAACCTTTGAGAATTTCTCCAAATCCTTTTACACTTTTTATGAAAACCAAACCAATGTATTCTAGGCATTCAGTCGATTATATAGAAAATTTTCTTTATAAATGTCCCTGTTGAAATCCATCGATATAATCAATTAAATCTGTAAATTTCAATTCCAACTTGTTTTAAAAAACCCAATTTCTCAAAACATTGCATGCATGCATGCACTAATAAATTCCGCTTATATGATCATAACAGAAAATTTGACACTTAAACTAATGGAGAATCTTTCTAAAAACGGTCCGTGCGTGATGTCCCATATATAAAAAAATTTTTTCAAAAAGTTACTAAACCAAAATATATCTTCGTGATGTAAACGATATTTTATTTCAATAAAGAAAAACTACATTCGAAAAATTTCCTCAACTTACATTGAACTTAGCCAAAAAAATATACTCCCATTCTTGGATTGTTCATGTGGAGATTAGTAATAATACATTCACTACTTCATTATATAAAAAATTCACAAGTAAAAACTGTTGCCATCTTAATTTTACTAGTCAATGTCCTCTAAGATATAAAATAAGTGTTATTAAAATTTTCCTTATGAGAGTGAACAAGAATTCATCCTCTCGTCCGCTTTTCTTTAAAGAATTTAATAACGTGAAACAAATGTTTGTTAATAACGGTTTTCCAAACTATCTTATAGATTGCTATATTAGGCATTTTCTAAGGTAACCAATAACAACACCTAACACACAGAAAAAAAATCAATAGCATTAATATTTTCTACAAAAATCAAATGCATAGTAACTATAAGCAAAACGAATTTTCACTTAGAAATATCATAAAGAAATACACAACATCAGTTGACAAAAACAAGAAAATTAAATTAATTATTTATCATAAAAAAAATAAAAACTGCTAACCTCATCGTCAAAAATAATAATTCACCTGCAAGAGACAAATTAGAGAGGACCAATATTATTTAAAAATTTATATGTCCCTTAAGGAACTGTGCTCCTGACCAATCCAAATTTGTAAATAATTATATTCGATATACTACAACATGTTTAACAAGAAGACCCACGTTACATCTCATTGACCATATCTCAATTAGGGCTCATTTAAATAAAAATGGAGACCTACCAAACTCTATCTGTAACATAATCGTCGATAATATAAATATAATGGCATCGCTCACAAGTGAAAAAAAGGCTAAAATAATGGAAGTATTATTAATAAAAAAGAAAAAAAAACAATGCTTAATACTATCAACTATGATCACGGCCAAATAGAGACCTACCAAACTCTATCTGTAACATTAATAATACAAATATAATAACATCATCCACACGTACAAAAAGGCAAAAAATAATGGAAGCATTATTAATTAAAAAAAAAAAATTCAACATTGAATAATATCAACTATGAACACGGTTAGAATTGTCTTAGGTGGCCCCACAGAAACAGAGTTTGGGGTCCGTGAAGGCCATGGAACCGGTCCTCCCCTACGTATCTGTCTTTCATGACAGGTGTCAGCCAGTGCATCGCGAACAATGTGACTAAAATGTGCTGGAGCCCCATCATGTATGAACCACGTTCGTCTTCGAATTAGCAGGTGTACATCCTCTAGCAGGTCTGGAGGTGTGTTCAAAATAAAGTCCCTGTAGACTGCTCCTGTAAGACGTGCTGGGATAACATATGGACCTGTTGCGGGAGTATGCTGGTCGGGTGTTTAGGCGGAAACTCGTATCTCCTGGAATGTTTATCCCACAACAAAAATGACAGACTTGCATATAAGTCCTGGTAATAAAATGATATTGTATGTATGTGACTAAACAATGAACATACATGAAAACATTTAAAGACTAGTGAATTGTTTGTGCATGTAAAATGTGTGTAGAAGACCTAGAGAAAATGAAGTAAAATGACATTGTGTACATACGTACGTGTGTGCATTTTCCAATGAGAAATGCATTTTCACGATAGACCTACATCCTAGCATGTCTAAGGAAAATAGGAAAAAGAGAATGATAGAAAATATTACAGTGTATTTTTTGTTCAAAAAGCGTCCCCTTGTGGCGTTTTTTTTAGTTAAGAAAATAAGTGGGGTCAACTCCACGAACCTACCAGTCAGCTACAATTCCAGCCTACGCATTAATCGTAAACTGATGTATTTTACGATTCTTCAAGCATAACTCTATTCAATAATAATAAAAAAAACTCTTATTATGAAGAGCAACGATATAAAATTTCAAAATTACATTGCAATTATTTTTTAAGTGTAGATTTTTTTTCTGTCCAATGTGAAAGTAAATAATTTTTTATTAAATTATGCAAGCGCCAACTGCCAGAAAAAAAATGAATTTTATTAAATTACTAGCACTAGAGCCCGGCGTTGCCCGGGGATGTAACAGTAAGAGATAGATCAAGTATCGACCATCATAAAGACTGAAAAATAAAATTGACAAAGCTTATTGTTTAAGGTTGACGGACACGCATGTCTTAATTATTATTTTTTTTTTTTGGTCAAACCCAAACTCAAACAAAAACATTGTTTTCAATCGATAGGAGTCTATCGATTGAATAGAATTTTATTATAAGCAGTTGTCTTGTAAATGGAATTTTTAAAGCATTCTGAATGTAAAAATAAAGTAAAAAGTGTGCAAGACAATAAGAAACACTACCTGCCAAAAAAAGTGAAGTTTTGTTGAAATCGGTTTAAAAATGTAGGAAATCCGATCCCATATATAAACGAACACACACACACACACACACACACACACACACACACACACACACACACACACACCTGGGTTTTATAATAAGTATAACTTGATATGAGTTGTCCCCCTTTCATTCTCGAGACAGTGATGCCTCTTAATCGTGTTTTCAAATTGATTTCGTGCAAAAACAATTGTGTTTTTCCAATTTTTGGCGCTGTCAGAACCACCGCAAGGTAATTTTACGTAGTCCTGTGAAGTTTTGTTGAAATCGGTTGAAAAATGTAGGAAATCCGATCCAATATATAAACGAACAGAGACACACACACACACACACACACACACACAAACTGGGTTTTATAGTAAGTATGATGATTCTTGGTAAGGTTCAAGATAATTTTTCAGTATACTCACACTTGATATTGTATACATTTTTTTTTTTTACTGAAATAACATCTTCAGGAATTTTTCTTTATATAACTGTAAAAAAACAACAGAAAAAAAAACTCTCAATGACCGCCAAAATTTAAAAGTACAGACAAAGATATTAAAAATGTGGGTTGAAACAAACACCCCAGAAATATTTACAAAAAGTTTTCTAGTAAAATAAATGCACTATACAATTCTTTCATTAAATACTTTGCTTGAATCGGATAATTCCCTGTTTTTTTTTTTTGGCATATTTTGCTTTCAATTCGAAAAATAAAAAATAACAAAACAAAAAAAATCCATTTTGGTGGCACCTAGTTTTAAAAGAAAAAAAAACAGGGCTTCTATTCAAACATGAGTATCCTCAAAATATTGTTTGTTGGAGTAATAGGAAATATATTTAATTTTATCCGTAGGTGCCACCACGGACTTTCCATTTTGTAAAGCCTATACCGGATTGTTAGATACCACCAAAATGGAAAGTCCGTGGTGGCACCTACAGATATTTTTAAAGCCTACTGGGTTTTTATTTTTAAGTACGGTGTTGATTAATGGGCTAAATGGCTGGGTTAGAATGTTTAACATACAAGAAGCGCTATTTGGAATCCATGTTTCAGGGAATGAAGAAGAAAAGATAGAGGAAGGAAAGTGCAGGAAGAGCGAAATAAGAGAGAGAAGCGCGGAGAAAATAGGTTTTTCTAGTAAAATAAAAAAAAGAGGGAGTAAAATAAAAGTAAAATGAGCGAAAAGGATAGGAGGAAAAAACAGAATGGGAGAGACAAAAAAAAACAGATAGAAAGAAAACGTAATATTAACAAACAGTGATTGCTATTAATGAATTGAGGCGGGAAAGTCAGTGAGCGTCAGCATAAGTATAAAAATACATTCGTTCTTTCATTCAAATTGACTAATGATAAGGTATAGATGCAGGGAAAATTAGATTCATGCCTTAAAATAGAAAAAAATACAAAAAAAAAAAGAAAGAAACGAGAAAGTAGTAGCATTTTCCTTCCATTTTTTGGTAAAAATGACACCCACGATTTCGCGAAGATTATTCCCAGAGATATGAATTTCCTGCCATCATTTTTTGCATTCTATAACAAATATAATGCGTATCCGTATATCATCAAGTCTGGTAAAAGGCTATATTTTATAGAGCACCAAAAACAATCAAGCGTAACGTTAAGGCTTATTTATAACAAAATTTACACTCCTAAATTTGTTCGTTTATTCTTGCATCCATGTTTAAAAGGTTGATTCAAATTGATTGATGAGCGGATAGAGACAGGGAAAATTAGATTTATGCCTTAAAAATAGATATTCGAAAACAAAGAGACAGAGAGACGAGTATCATTCCTTTTCTGCTGATGGCATTTGGTAAAATGGAACACACGATTTCACGAAGAGAATGGCTAATAATAATAATAATAATAATAGCCAGAGTTCTGAATTTCCTGCCAACATTTTTTGCATTCCATAAACAAATAATGCGTATGCCATCAAGTCTGGTAAAAGGCTTTATTTCGTAGAGCATCAAAAATAATCAAACGTATCGTTAAGGCTTATAAAAGCATTAGTAACTAAACAGTGTGATACAGCCTTTCTTTCTGATTTTTTTTGCCTTCTTTTCTCACCTGTAGGCTTGATCTTTTTAATATCACTGATTAATTTACAAATATGTCTGAATAAAAAAAGTTAAAAGGTAAAAAAAAAAAAAAAATGTTGTAAGAAAAGACAGGAAAATAAAAATTAAACTGCAGTCCAAGACATACCAGCGCCAAAAAAAAACAAGATTAAGTAGAAAAAAAAATGACAGTTTAATTAATGTTATAATAATTAATTAAAGACTCTAGAATTGTGCTCACTAGAAAGAGAAGTTACTTGAGTGGAATTAAAAAAGAAATTGGAAAAAAAAAATTAAATAAATAATATTAAAGAACTAAAAATAAATAAATAAACAAACAAAAATAAATAAATAAATAAACAAAAATAAATAAACACGTTTGGGGTCTGGTTTTGAATTCAATGCACAAAAAGACACGCATGTATTTTGTATGCACGCATTGCAAACAGGGCGACACAAAAAATGTTATCGTTATATTATGAGGTGGCTATACCTAATGCAAAAAAAATAATACGGGTTAAATTATCAAGTTTTTAAAAATTCTGTGTCGATAATATAAATTAAATATACATTTGGGTAGCTAAACTTTTTTTTATACAGTTTTCATTGAAGATGACTGGCGACGTACTTCGATTATAAACCTTATTATATTTTTCTATCGCAAAAAGAAATCTCTTACACGTATGTTAGAAAAAAATATAATAAAAAGCTTAGTTAATCGCAATGCCTTTTGTCAGTAATCTTTTAAGAACCTCATAAAAAAGTAACATTTTCTTATATCGTTATTTTAAACAGTGTTTCTTTTTTGTTTTAATTTTTGTTTTACGTTTCAATTCAACTTTTCTTTTCTTAAAAAATCTCCGAAGATAAAATTGTAATAAAAAAAAGAAACGGAAAATTATTTTTTTTCTGTTGAATTATTCTGAAAATTCTAAAATGGCAGTGTAAAGGATTTTAAACTTTAAAATCATTTTTTAATCAAAATTTTGAATGTTCTAAAAAGGTGTAAAAAATTAATTAAATATTCAAAAAATACTTTTATCATTCCTCTTTAAAGCCTTTGACGATATAAAACTAACGATGTTTCCATTACGTTTTGGGGCATGTTTTTCATCATGGTATGCTGATTTTTAGCGATTTTTCGTGGAGGTACCTATTTTAGAGACAAATGCTAGAGCTCAGATCAATAGCATTGCTATAGTTTGAGGACAAATTTAGTCTTCTGTTCAGTCGACAGCTTCCACAAGAAGTTTGAGATGGTTGAAGCCTTCCCCGCTTCTAAACCATCAGACCCCCTTATTTCCCAGGTCCCCCAGGTCGTCGTGGCGCGGTGAACGCGCTGTGTTCAGTTCAGTCATAATAAAGATGCGCAATTTTTAGGCTTTTTTTTTAAAAGAGGCTTAACGTTTTTACTCCCGACAGATTCAACCATACACAGAAAATACACGCCCATACACACACGTACATCACAAAGAAACGCAAATACATACGCACCTAAATACATAAGCATGCCTGTGTACGCACAAACGTACACCTAATTTGGCGGTAATGCTATGTATATAATAATCACTGAGAAAACATAGGCGGAATTATTGAATCAAGTCGAAATTATCGACATTGCGCCACTTTTCGTTTTTTCTTTTTTTTTAATTAAAATGAAACCGGATTTAATTACATTATTTTTTGTTATATTAATAGGTTAAAAATCATAATGTATTGTAAAAAATAGTCAACAGAATTAGATGAACCCTTCCCCACACGCCCCCTCCATATATATATATATATATATATATATATATATATATATATATATATAAAAAAAACAATAACGACAAAGAGAAAATTGTTATTTTCCAATTAAACAAGAAAATAAACAATCTATTATTATCTCACGCAAGACGACGAGGAGGAGAAGGAAAAGAAAATATAATGAGGGCGTGTTTGGGAGAGTAAACTTCAATGAATGATATATAGGGGGGGAAAATGAAAGGAGAGAGAAAGAGATTGGCAGGAGGTAATGAAGAAGGTAGTGTGAAAAGGTGGGAGGTAATATAGAAGAGGGTAGAAGTGGGAGGAGAAGGAATCCTCTGCTAGCACCCCCAGCACCCCACCAAAAAAAACAAAAAAAAACATGAAAAATTACATAAAAACGCACAAAAATACAAAAACAAAAACAAAAAACAAAACAACAAAAAAAAAAAAAAGCAGTTAAATTCAGAGAAGTTAGCTGTCCACACACGATTTTGGTTGATTTTTTTTTTTTTAAATGAGGAATCAACACATTCGGTGCTAAGGAAACATATTTTGCTAAAGAATAAAAGTCACTGAAAAAAGGCTTTCTTTGCTGCACACACACACACACACACACACACAACACACATTTACAAACGCTTTATTTAATACAAGTAATTCCCTTGACATATATATGCAGAGGCAAAATGCAGAGTTGTACACATACCGTGACAAAATTTAAAATCACATCATGCCTACTGGCAGCCATTTATTTATATTTATCTATTCTCTCGGTCTGTGACGGATCTTTGTCAAGGTTGGCAATAAGTGTAACAGCTTTCTGCTGCCGCTACTATATGGACACCTAGGAGGAGTTATGGGAGAATCGTATTATCTGTATCCTTATAGACAGACACCAAATAGAGATATTGTGCGCGTGCGCGCTCGCACTCACATTCACACACACACATATTTACATTCATACACGCACACACATATTCACACACACACATCGGCATGCTTAATAGTATATATTTAATTCGTTCTTCTAGTCGAACAGAAGATGGCACAAGGCCATTTATAAAGTGTGAATCCTATACATATATGGGTACTTGTGTGTTATCTGTCGCCACTATTTAAATTAATTTTCCAACTTTTTCACAAATACATGTGTATAAAAATATACTATTCCAAATATTCACTTAGAGGTTTAAAAAAATAACAAAACAAATAATTAAAAAAACAATTTAAAAATATTTCAAGTGCCACATCTAACTTTGTGGAAAAATGTATGATAGTGGAAAAAAGTTTTCTTGTGACGCAATTCGCCCTTTGGGATTTCATCGGACTAAATTTGTTATGTTGGTGCGACTACGCATGCGCAGGAACCAGGGATGCTGGGAATTTTAAATATTTTTTATTTTAGTTTATTTTTATTTATTTATTTTTTGTTAATCTACCTTTATAAAAAACATCAATAAGTAAATAAAATCGTGGCGATAGACGACCCACAAAAAAAGGAATTTAAAAAAGTGGCGAGATATAAGTACCCATAAGTACCCATATATGCGATTAGTGACAAAATTTGCTCTCGACACTTTCCTTTCGCAACAGGCATCAGGGAAAGACGCCGACTCTCATTTATTTCGTACAATGGGAGAGGTTTTGTCTGGGGAAGGGGGATGAACCTTTGGGGTTGAACTATATACTTATTATTTCAAGAATATCAGCGATCAGGCATGTATATAAACTATTTAAATATTTTTTTATATACACTAAATATAGTAAGACTCAGATAGAAAGACGTTATACAACAGGCGCGTGGTCTTACACACACATACGAAATTTGATCAAAAAATATCTGGACTTTTACTATGGTAACGAAGCTAAAGTACAAAGACTGAAGCCGATTGGCACAGATTGACCTTGAACTCTGTCACGCATGCACAGTAAGCTATAAAGTTCATGCTCACTTCCGTTGTTTATAGCAGCGTAAGGAAAGTGTGTAGAGTGTGGTCGCCACTGAGGTCACATCAGTGTCTATGCTTTGCGTAGCAGTTTTTGGCTAAGAACAATATTTCCCAGGTCCGACAACCGCCATATTCCCCAGATCTCATCCCTTGCGACGTTCTCCTCTTCAAAAACCAAATCCCATTTGAAAGGAACCAAGGTCGATGAAATCCAAGAGAATGCAACGAGGAGCTGTTCGCAATGCCAAAAAAATGAGTTCCAGGAATGCTTCCACCAATGGAAACGACGCTGGATAAAGTGTGTGACTTCAAAAGAGGACTACTTCGAAGGAGATTAAATGCCGAACTGATATGTATTGTAGTTTTCTTTTTGGCCAGATCTCGTATGCAGAACTCTTTTCCCCCGCCCGATACAAGTGGCGTCTGGATTAGTCATTGCAGGGTAGATCTTTTGAATGATAAAATAAGACCGGCGATTCACATGTACGGCCGGAATGTCTTTTTTTAAACACATTTTAAACTAATATCTGTGTTCCCAGACTATTTTTTTCAACCGTTTCACCCCAAGCAAGGCGAGAAGCCACTAGGACGCAAGGGGTTACAGAAGATTTGGAGCAAGATCAGATAGGAGTGATAGAGGAAAGGATGAGGAGAAGGGTAGTGGATAGATCAAGGCAACTGGAGATGTCGATTGACATTACATTTGAATAGTTGGAGGTTATAGTTCTCAGGTAAACTGGAATAGGGAAGGGAGTTCCACAGGCGAGAGGTGCGAGACATGAAGCTATTGGAGTAGAAGAGACGGCTACATTTAGTAGTTTCGACAGTGAAAGGGTGAGAGCGGGATGCCAGCCTCGTACGGCGCTTGAACTCATGAAGTCTGGGAACCAGCGAATGCAGCTCCTCGGAGCAATTGCCATAAAAGCATTTGTAAAAAAGACACAGAGAGAGGCGACGGTGCGTCTGTGAGAAAGTGACTGTAGACGAGATGCCAGAGCAGGGCCAATTATATTGCATATCCGACTCTGGGGCCTATCAAGAACCCCGAGGCAAACAGAGGGGGATCCAGACCATAATGAATTTAAGCGTTCAACTAGGCTGGCACCCTTTCACTGTCGAAACTGTTAAATGTAGCCGTCTCTTCTATTCCAATAGCTTTATGTCTCGCACCTCTCGCATGTGGAACTCCCTCCCCTCTCCCTGTTTCCCTGATTGCTATAATCTCCAACTATTCAAATGTAATGTCAATCGACGTCTTCAGATGCCTTGATCTATCCCCTATCCTTCTCTCTTCATCCTTTCCTCTATCACTCCTATTTGCTCTCGCTCCAACTATCTGTAATCCCTTGCATGCTAGTGGCTTCCCGCCTTGCTTGGGGTGAAACGTTTAAAATAAATAAATAAATAAAATACAATAAGAAATTTAAGAAAAAAAATGGTCGCAATATATGGATAAAAGGTGTCAGTTTTTAAACTGACACCGGGAAGATATCGGTTAATAAACGCGGAAGAAAATAATAGTGGCACAGAGAATTTGAAATTAATTATTAATCATTACTAATAATTAAGTCGTGATTATTAATAATAATTTATTATTATCATTATCATATAATTCTCCTTGTTCTCTCGCTCCTTAGTGCGTTCTTTAGGCCCTATCATTACCTCGGATAAATAATAGGCTATTATGTTTCGAGGAAAAACGGAAAAGACATATCAGAGACGCTGTTGGTTTCAATAAGAAAGAAAGAAAGAAAGAAAGAAAGAAAGAGAAGCTAGAGGAGGCAATAACTCTTTAATTTGTTTAACATCTGCTTCGGCGAAATGGAAAGCCTTGCCAATTTTCTATCTTTTCATTTGTACCCTCTTACTTCTGGCCAGCCTGCATTTTTATGAATGTTATTGTAGTATTTGGTTGCTAACTTCAGATATTAAACGAGACAATCTAGAATAAATTCCATGGGTATTTCATAGTCGTGGAATACACAAGTTGCTTATTCAATCATTAACTTCAGAAAATAGGAAAAACGTGAAATTTTCGCGGGTATTATTATTATTATTATTATTACAACTACGACTACTAATACTAATAATAATCATAATCGTGCTAGGGGAGGGGTGGAGTAGAAGGAAGTAATTAAATCGTTCCCACACGTGTATTTGGTATACCGCAGTCTACACTGTGCCATGTCCGTTCAGAACATTGGCGATCATGGCTCTCCACAATTTCCTGTTCTTTCTAGCTTTTACATTAAAAAAGGTGCAAAAACAGAGAAAGGAATTCAAATACATAAACAATGGAACAGAAAGCTTCACGACAATTAAGTGACGCAAATTGTTACGAGGAAATATTTATCTTTCTTTTTTTCATTATCCGTTTGAATGTATGTCCTTGTGCCAGACTTAGCTTTCTCTCAATATATCGCTACCTATGTTAATCAAACAGAGCACAAACACACGCACACACTTCGCAGATATGAAGAGAGGCACTTGTCTTGACTACTATAGCAGGAAAATGATGTAAGGTATTTGTTAAGAGCTATAGAAAGAGCGGCCAAGGTGGAGAGTGGAGGGGTGGGAAAGAGGGTGGCATGTGAGATCCAAGGGGGAGGGAAGAGATGGATAAAGGGAGTGACAAGTGAGAGACAAGTGGGTGATGGGAGGGCTTGGATAGACGGAGCGGTGAGAGAGAGACAAGGTGGGCATGGAATGGCTTGGATAAACGGAGTGGCAAGTGAGAGACAAGAGGGAGATGTAACGGCTTGGATAGACGGAGTGGCAATTGAGAGACAAGAGGGAGATGTAACGGCTTGGATAGACGGAGTGGCAAGTGAGAGACAAGAGGGAGATGTAACGGCTTGGATAGACGGAGTGGCAATTGAGAGCCAAGGAGGAGATGGAATGGCTTGGATAGACGGAGCGGTAAGTGAGAGAAAAAAAGAGAGATCTACGAGCTGGATAAATAGAGCGGTAAGTGAGAGACAAGAGGGAGACAGAATGAATTGAAGACGGGGAATGGTAAGTGAGAGAAGGGTGGAGATGGAAGGGCTTGGATAGACGGAGCGGTGAGGGAGAGACAAAAGGGAGATGGACGATTTGAATAAATGGAGCAGCAAGTGAGAGACAAGGGGAAGATTGAAGGGCTCGGATAGACGGAGCGGCGAGAGAGAGACAAGAGGGAGATGGACGTGCTGGATAAATGGAGCGGCAAGTGAGAGACAAGGGGGAGATGAAAGGGTTTGGATAGACGGAGCGGTAAGTGAGAGACAAGAGTGAGATGGAAGAGCTGGATAAACAGAGTGGCAAGTGAGCGACGAGAAGGAGATGAAAGGGCGATAGAGGGGGAGATGAAAAGGCTAGAAGAGGGGGAATGGCAAGCGAGAGACAAAATGAAAATGGATGGGCTTGGAATAGACGTAGCGGTGAGAGTCAAGATGGAGACTGAAGGTTTGGAAAGAAGGACTGGCACGCGAGAAACGAAGTGGTGGTGGTGGGTGGGGTTAGGGTGAGGGAAAACACAGTGGGTGAGACTGTGCAAATCAAGGTTGGTCGGTGTGAGGAAAGAAATCAGTTTCCAGATGCAACAGTAACATATCGACCGATCTATCGATCGTGAGCAGCCATTATTATCACGTAGCTTTACAGAGAGAAGCTGGCGTTTTCATTCTTTGCATATTATCTAGAGCATAGAATTCGAAAACATGGTAGATGTGCTAAACTTGCTGAGAAAAGCGAGGGTCAGTCACGCCTGGGAAAGAAAGAGAGAGAGAGAGAGAGAGAGAGGGGGGGGCAATTTTGTATATTACTACTTCGGTACCTGTCGCTTCACTGATGAAAAGATGATCAAATTCCCCATGTATATTATTTGTTAATTTAAAATAACACATTTATCTAGAAAATACAGCCACTTCTCGCTTAAAGACTGTTACGTTCTAACATGGTCGCTAAACGAATTGGTTGCTAAATGAGAAGTCGTATTTGACCGCTATTTCAGACATAGCTACGCATGTTAATTGGTTTGTGTCAACCAACTTCTTCTTCTTCTTCTTCTTCTTCTTCAATGTGCCCCATTCCTTCAGGACGTTAGCAGTCATGGCTCTCCACAATTTCCTGTCATTTTTTGTAGCTCTTAATAAATTTTATTTTTTTGTTACCTCTCCTAATCCCGGTCAGTCACTCATTTACACAAGCCTACTGGGTAGGTTATCCATTATTTTCCTCTCCCCCTCTTGCCTTCATCAACCTGTCCTGTGAGTATCAATTTTTCCAAGCCTTCTTGCCTCATTATGTGTCCTAGAAATTTCAATTATCGCTTGCTGGTGTTATGCAAGTGTCCTTTTTGTTTCCATTTTCCCAACTTTGTTGTTGCTCACATATTCGGTATTCTCAGCATCCTTCTGTAGACACACATTTCTGTTGCTTCAAACCTCTTCTTCTGTAAGGAGATTGTCCAGCGCTCATCAACATAACAAAATCTTTCTTATTTCTTAATACTCAGCTTAGCTTTTGGAAGGCACCTTTCTCTATCCCAATGTACCTTCGGATTTCAGTGTCACACTTTCCGTTTACTGTTAAAACGCTTCCCAGATATTCAAATTGTACATTTGTTAGGGTCACCAATGTGAAATTTGCATGTTGGGCACTTCTTTTTGCTAACAACCATACATCATTTCTTCTTATAAGTGAGGTTTAATCATTTCTTCTGGCTTTTCTTCACTATCTACTGTTAAAACAAATCACTCGACCATAGTCGGGATCATCACACCAATGCGAACGATCCTTTATTTAGCTGTATGGTATACGATACGCCAGAGCTACATACAGTTTTGAATTCAGAGTTACCTTCATCTAGACTGGTTGCCATTCAAGGCTCTAGACCTCGGTCTGTCCTGCTATTTGGAGAGGGAAGAAGAGGATTCATATTGGGGAGAGAAGGAGAGGATTCATACCTTTCCCAAGGGTATTAGCACGTACGCAAATGTAATGTATCCGACTAGAATTCGAACTCGACTCTCCGATTCCCCAATCCGAGCCGCTATCCTTCTGTAGGAGTTCCTGAAGTTTCTTTTTGATGTCTTCTATCAACACTGTGTCATCTGGATATCTTATGTTGCTAAGATTGTGTCCGCCAGTAATGAATCCTGGTAGGACTTCTAGTTCTCTCAGGATTGCCTCACTGTATATGTTCGGTGAGAAGACACATCCTTGTCTTAGAACTCTTTCTATTTTTGTATATATACCGAATTCATTTTCTATCCATATGCAAGCAGTTTGCATTGTTTGCTTCTGGATTATTCTAGTATCCTTCCTAAATATATCAAGGTCACCTAGCAGTTCCAGCAGTTATTTCTGACGCTCTCTATCAAACGCTTTTACATAATCTATGAAACATAGAGGATTTTTTCCGGCTGCTTGTGTGTGTTTGTGTGTTCTCGGCAGTGTATAAAGTGAAATGAAGAAACCCAAGGTTCGAAAAAACTGTTTAACAGCTTTTATTTGTGATTGAAAAGAGAATGCAAAATAGTGGTATTTTGCGGGGAAAAAAAAGTTTGTCCCCAGTTAACAAAGTTCTTCCCATGAATAGATGTCTCGTAGAGAGAAGTTTTTCCGCTCGATACGTCGAGGAACGACAAATCTGAGTGTCAAACGGCTAGGACTGGTACGAGTCTTCTACGGCAAGGGTTGTGAGTAATGCTTCGGGTAGGTGTCTCGAAGAGAGATTTATCCACTTATCCCCACGAGGAACGAGAAATCTTGGGTCAAGCTACAAGAACAGGCGACGTATCTTCTGCAGTAAGGGTTGTGAGTAGACCTTCGAGCTGGGCTTTGAAGGTAGCGGCCTCTGAAAAGGAAAAGTGAAAGAGAGGCCCAATATGGCTTGATCAACGTTTGTATGTGTTCTGGGACTCCTGGTTGTTCCCTGCTTATTATTTCCGTCACTGCTGTTGCTGAATCGTGTAAAGTAAGGAAGCCCCCACATGCCACAGTAAGCCATAAAGTGAAATAGTTCCTATACGCTTTAATGTAACTTTTACACCATTTGTAACTTATTTCTAAACGTTTATACAGTACAGCAGTGGACTTAACAGCAAATGCAATAAACAAATTTATAAACCCCACTATTCCATAATTTACTTCCGTTTATATGCTATAAGTAAATGTTTTATTTATTTTCCACTTTATTCATTCATTCATTCATTCATCTTGATCCATTTTTAAGAAAGAGAAAGCAATCACAATCAACGTTTTTATACATTGCACAATAATGACTTTCTGTGCTCCCTAGAATCTATAATACGAGTCCGAATCTATGTTACGGGACCCCACTCTATTAAATCTTATTTTTCATAAACTAGTATTCATATAAAATACAAATTTTATTGTAACTTCATTATGCAAAATAATGGATCATACACAATATAGGTGAACAATCCAACTAGAAAAATTGAAAGTGAATACAATGCATCTATTAGGTCGGTGCAAAAATAATGTCGTTTTCTCTTTTGAAGTTGAAGGTCAAAAAATGACATTATTTTTGCACCAACCTAATAGCTATAAATTACAGACATGTTATAACAAATCATTCCATTGTATCAAAAAAAGAAAAAAAAAACACAATTTACACATAGAGATAAAAAAAAATTAAAGCCAAATTTATACAATTATTAGAAAATATCTTAAATCGACAATGACATTCTCCGTCATTCCCTTTTTTCCTATTTTTCTCAGTGACGGCAAGATGTAGGTCACACGTGGAGAAAAGCGTCCCCCACCGGAGACCGCGCACACTCACACACCTTTCACTCCACTTTCATTTACTTTACTCTATGACTGCTACTACACAAACTTCACACACACACAAACACATTCTCTAGTTTTAATGTTTTCTTCTTTCATATTCATTGTTTTGTCACACGCAGCAATCTTCTGTTATTGTCTATGTATACCTTTTGTTAATACATACATTGTCGTTTGTTTATATATATATATATATATATATATATATATATATATACATCTTTCGACAAGTATAATTCATTTTCGTCTTAGAATTTTACCTGAAATTACATGAAATTGAGAAAAAAAAATAACAACTATGCCTGTGAATGGTATATGTGGTTAACGAAAGTACTTGAAATATGGATCAAACATCTAATCCATTTTACAATGAATATAAACAAGGATAGTGTCCTCAAGGGCACAGTGGATAAAGGCATTGGTTAGATCCAGTGACAGACCCAAAGAAGGTGAGTTCAATACCTGGTTAAGGCAGTGGAGAACTTTCAGAGGGAAAATTAACAGGAGATAACTGATAACTGACATCCATCAAACATGGCACATAGAACAGTCTACCCCAGTGATCGAAATAAAGGGTTCAGTTCGAAAATTCCAACCACCTGAAGAAGGCCGGAGCGTACAACGGCCGAAACGTTGTGACAAATATGGTGACAAAGATGAGGACAATAGTTCGACTAATGCAAATACTGTACATAATACCTCATCTCAGAAATATAGATAGACTCTGAAGGATAGTGTCGTTCAACGAGTGGTCAGTGAGTTAATGGTTGAAATTTATTCAATGACGACTTCTTTACAATATTAATTAAGCTGCATTATTTAATATATTTATATATTTAATATATATATATATTAAATATATGGATATAAGAGAGATTTTCTCTGGTCCCAAATTAGAGCCTGTGTTAATGTATATAAATTAGACCAAACCGGATATAAGAGAAACCTGGATATAAGAGACTTCTCTCCGGTCCCGACAACTCTCTTATATCCGGTTACACTATATATATATAATTTATATATATTTATTATATATAAATATATAATATATATATATATATATTAAATATGTATATTTAATATATATATATATATATATACACACACACACACACACACACACACATATATATATATATATATATATATATATATATATATATATATATATATACAGTAATCCCTCGTCATAATGCGGTTCACCTTTCGCGCTCTCAGTACATCGCAGACTTTTAAAAATATTTCATGTAAATTAATATCGCAGTTCCCTCGGTACATTGTAGCCGATCCAAATATGTCTTAGTCTTTCCAGATGATTCCGTAAATGCCACACTATTGGCGGATAGAAGAGATATACGACCAATGAGAAGATGTTCTTCAGTGGCATGGGCGCTGATTGGCTTAGTGACCTCAGTCTCGGTTGCCTAGCATCCTGATTTTCGTCATCCTACGCCGCTCAGTTATTTCAAGGCCTACGATTTCGCCCAAGCGTTCTGCACCTTCTAAGCCTTCTGGTAGTGAATGCAAGCGCCAGAGGAGGATGCTTACTATAGCGGAGAAGGTGAAACGCCCCGATATTCTGAAGGGAGGGAAGAAGCTATGCGGCTTTTGGTCGCCATTACGGTATCAATGAATCCAGCTTTCGTTCCATGAAGAAGGACTTTAAAATGTTTTTAAAAAAAAAGTGTGTAGAAAGGGTTTATAAGAGTGTGTGGAGTCTTTCTAAAAGCTTTAACCCTTTGACCTCTGACCACCGCTTTACCGGTATAGAGAAAAATGACGTAATTCTCAGCCACCGGTTGAACAGTGGTAGACTAAAATAACTTAATGCCCAGCCAGCGGTTGAACGGTGGTTGAACTATTTTCATATCTACCGTGAAACATTACATACCAATTATTTACGAATTTTGACTCTGGAGCTCAGGCAGAAAGGTTAAAATTGTTCAGGAACGCAGGGTCAAAGAGTTAATATATATAATTATTAAAAAAAAAAATACAATACTCTGATGAATCACTTTAGCTAATCCTGTTTCTACGGATTTTCACCCATCTCGGAGTTGGATTTCTGGAACGTAACACCAGCGATAATCGAGGGATTATTGTATATAGTTTTGTTGTTACTTTATTTATTTATTACCTGGTCTCACATTCGAGTCCGCAATAATTGTTGTGGGGAAAAAACATACCAGGAAATACGGGTTTTCTAACCTGAACAAAATCGATCATTCCCCAAAAACACCATCTTAAATAAATCAACGATGTTTTGCTGCAATTTTTAACATCGACTTGAGACGTTTCTTGTTAAAAAGTTGAAGAATTTTAAGTTTTAATGGAAAAATAGTGAATTTTATATTGTGTTTTTTTTCCAAGACTTAGCATGAGCAAAACAAATTCACGGATTTAGACGAAAAATAAAAATAAAAGCTAGAATGACGTCAAAATCGGTGAAAATGTTTCATCCTTTAATAGTTAGTTAATCTGTAACGTATATACATATAGGTTGACAAAAAGAAAATGTTAAAATAGCGAGGGTCACAAAGCCCTATCCAGAGCCCCCAATCAGGCCTGCAACACCCCCACTCGGTCAGGGGGTTCGGAGGTAGTACACACTGGCCCTGTACTGCCTCGTTGGTTTTTTTTTTTTTTTTTTTAGAAATCTTTATTTTAGGAGATTGTGTAGCTGGTTGTAAATCTAGATGGTCGTTAAGCAGGTAAGTTGTTAAGTGAGGAGCGATCGTATATTCAGTTTAAATACAGATGAAGTAATAAAAATAACTTCAAAAACCGCATCTCCGCTGATCCACTTTTCCTGTTAACCAATGACTGTTGGCAGATACAGATGTCCATTTCAATTTCATCCAAATTGTGTGTACGTTTGCGGTGCGTGTGTGCGGATAAATTTTAACTCACTAACTGACTTAAAAAAATTATACACAAATTATAAAAAAAAAAAATTAAAATAATTTTAATTATTACTGAATAATAATTTCTAGAAAGTATTTTTAAGTATCTGTCTATATCTCTGAGATGAGGTATTATGATTACTTGCATTATTTACATTATTCGGACAGTTATCCTCATCTTCATTGCCATATTCACCTTCTTTTTTAGGGTTTTATTTTAATCAGTCAAATTGTATGTGTGCATGTATGTGTGTGTATATATCAAATGGTACAAGCACATATAAGTCACGAATGGATACCACAGGCATATGCATATACATTACATAGGCCCACGTAAAATTACACGCAGACACTATGTTTGACGGACAGACAATCAGCACACTTCTTTTATTTGTTTTCAACGCACTGACGAGTGTTCAAATCCTCACGGTATTTAGCATTGTCGAGATTTACAAACTCTACGTTTCGTTCAATTTCGCAAAGCAATCGATGAAATTTGAATAAGCTGATTTGTTTGGAAAAATACTTTGACAAAAATCCTACTTCGCGGTTTAATAATTTCTTTAATGTAATTTAATTTTTATAAGACTTCATGGCAAGCAATATTTTTTAAGAAAATTTCTCTTTAACAGCGAAGAATGAATTCTTAGGATTTCTTACTCTTGAGCATGCAACATACAAGTGGCCATGCGTAAATATTTCTTTCTGGTGCTAAATTCCAACTTTTTGTGATTTATTTATAGTTCTCGCAGACACAGGGAGATCTGGAAGCTGGGTTCTTGTATATATAAAAACCTAAAGGAAAGAAATGCCAAAAAAAAAAAAAAAAAAAGATATTGAATTTTTATTAAATAAGTATTCCTTATTTTAATCATTAAATTGTTTTTTTTTTCTGTTTTTTTTTTTTTTTTTAAATAATTTAACATAATTTATCACTGGGGAATTATTTGTAATCGAGGCCAGTAAAATTTCTCGCAGTAATCGAGGATAACCGGGACCCAAATAAATTGTCAATATCTCCTAAACGGTAGATTTCCACCAGATTTTATGCTATTTTTTGGAATAGTCAGGCGATTTTACACCAGGAATGCTATTTTTTTAAATTGTCACTGGGGCATTATCTGCAGATTTAACTATATTTTTTTTGTTCTTGAGAATTTTCAACAAAAGTATTAAGAAAATTAAAAATTACATTTGGGCTCTACGAGAGAGAAAAATAAAGACTGCGGCACTCCTGCCCATATATGGCAGAAGTAGTCCATTTCCGGTCTGATGAGGCTATTGCACTTGAACAAGAAAGTGTACATGTATACACAATTTGAATTAATTTGAAATGGGCAACTGTGTCATGAAGATTAATTTCACTTTCTCTCTGGCAATAAGTCCTTGCCATTAATAACGAAAGTGATAAAGACATAAACAAATAGAAACCAATTTAAATTGTCTAAACCAGGAATCACCGAAGTTTTTTCACAGCGGGCCTGATAACTGGGAGAATGACGAGAGCGAGCCGGATAACCATTTTGTTCAATACAATATACTGAATGCACAAAAAATAAAAACAATGCACATACTTATTTACTAAAAGAGTTATCTAAGAAGGCGATAATAGCAATAAATATTTATATCACACCAAGTGCGCACGTATCTGAATCTCACAAACTAAGCAGCACTAAAGGTTAGTGAGATTTATGAAACTGGCGTTTACTTTTTAAGATATAACTAACAGCATGGCCCGGCGTTGCCCGTGCTTGATTCAAAAATCGTACGACTCATACAGCAATCGCTATCACTTGACTTAAAATATTCTTGCCCTTCCTTGCCTTTAAAGGAGTGCCCTTTTCCGTGCTGATGTTGTTACATGCTTTACTTCTTGCCTATCTCGCACTGCGAATTTTTTCTAAGCTCTATACTAAACATTAAATCATTTACGAAAAAAGAACTAAACAAAATGAACACAAAACGATCAGCTTAAAAAAGGGACTCGTAACTGGAATAACCGAATGAGAAAAGAATGTTAACAACAAATACTTTTTCACACTCAACCCAGTTCTGTGAAATCAGAATCAACGTTGAATTTAAGCAAGCGAATGAGTCAATTGGAGTAAAGTGCCATGCAGATTAAAATTTTTCCCACTTGTGACGAATGCAGCTATCGATTTTTTTGCATGCTAGTTAACATTCGTATCAGTCAGCTGTTGGCTCTCACGCTGGCCAATAGAATCTTCCTGCCTATTCGTGACAGCCAGCTATAGGATCTCACTCTGGCCAGTAGAAAATGGCCGCAAACTACATGAAAACTGCCGTAGAAGCATGAAAAATCGATTATTTCCACTATCGATGGGAGTTGGGAAATGCAAAAGTCGGTCTTGGCCTTCCCCGCTAACTTGGAGCATGTGCATGTAAATTTTGGTGCAAATCCGTCGAAAATTGAGGCCGTGCATTCGTTACACACACACACACATTCGTTACACACACACATCCTGCCTTTTATAGATAGAGATTAATTTCTTTTTGGTATTGCTGGTACTTGTTATTCTAATTATTAAATTGTTTTTGAATTAATTTAAGATAATTTGTCACTGGGGCATTATCTGTAATTGTAATGTAGCAATACCAAAACAAGAGAATTGCTTTCAAATGTTCATCAGTCAACCTCGTTGCATATGCCGACTTTAGATACTTTAGATTTTATAAGTTCAGGTAAAATATATGGCATGATTTGCTGGTCAGTCCTTTTTATATACGGCACTCTTCAAACCGGCTTCAACACGGCAATGCAAGTTAAAACCTAATTGCTTCAACAGGCTCGTAATTACTTTTCTTAGAAACTTCGTTATCGCTGGTAAAAATACAAACATCATCATCATCATGTCCACAGACAGAACCCAACTTAATCAACGTGGTGATAGTGGACCGAGATCAATGAGTGTGGGTACGCGTCTATATATATGTGTACATGTGTGAGCAAATGTGAGCATGTCTGACGGCGCGGACAGTCGCTTTGAATAACGTCAAGACTACCTTCGCATGTTCCTTGTTCAGAGAACGTTGCTGCATATATATCGCTACAGGGTCACCTCGGCGTGGTTTAATGGTTAGCCAGCTTGTCTTGCTAGGTCAGTTACAACTGAAAAGTGAGTTCGATCCTCACTGGATGCCCCATGCTTTCGGCCTTGTGCCACATCTAAGCTTCGCTTGGAAAATCTTTAGGGCACCTCGACGTGATGTAATGGTTATAAAGCTTGTCTTGCTAGATCAATTATGACTGAGTAGTGAGTTCGATCCTCACTGGGTGCCCCATACTTTCGGCCTTGTGCCACATCTAAGCCAGGCTTAGAAAATCACTATATAACGCTACAGTCTTGAGACCAAAATAGAATGACAATTGCGTATATATGTATGCTCGAACACATAGATGTATATCTACGCCTACTCTCAGGTTATTTATATGGACGAACTAAAATGCATACATCTGTATGTATGCGTGTCTGTGTATGTGCCAGTATCATCTCAAACAAACATAGAAAAAATTCCAACCCTTCACCACACACAAATAATCAAACACAAACAAGTATTAATAGACATACTTTTGAAAAATTAAATCAGTTTGGTGATCACAAAAGCGTGAAACCCTTGGTTACAAACTACTCTCCATGCAACCGAATATGTCAACTCTCTCTCTCTCTCTCTCTCTATATATATATATATATATA